AACATGATCTACAGGATCAAAAAAATAAGGGCCAAACAGTTTTTTAAATTAAATTTGATATACTTAAAAGTTTAAATCATAATAATAAATAAAATAATGTAATACTATTACATAAGAATATAAAAACGTGTGGGTTTTAATTTTTTATTTACAGGATATTCAAAATTGTATAGTACAGTAATTTTTTCTATAAAATAATTGTTTATTAAAAAATATTAAAATAATTTTTATTGTTTATATGTTATTAATATTTTTTGATAAATAGCTGTTAAAAGTCAAAAAGGCACTTACATATTTGATTTAACAACTAACAGCATAATATTGCTCCAAAAATAAGGACTAGTGTGTAAACAGTTTTGCATTAATACTTATCTGAGTTTTTGGAATTTAAAGTAAAAGCGGGTGTGTAGTGCGGATAAAAATAACATATAGTTAATAATAATATTAAGTTTACCTATCTTTTGTGTCTATTCATTTAATTTATAAACGCTAATAAAAAAAACTGAGTTGTTGACAAGTCATTATTTCATTAAATTATTCTACATTAATTTACTAAATCAAACACATAGATTATTATTCGACTTTTAACATCAAAATGAAAACCTACAACTTTTGGCGGTCTATTTTTTTATTCATTTCCAGCAAATTTATCAAGACTTAGAACCTATATGGAGCCTTACCCGAACTATCTCCATAAAAACTCCAAAAACTGAAACCGTAAATTTGATGATTTTAGATTAAATTTTTAAACTGTAGAGCTGTAATAAATTATTTTTTTGTGAGAAAATTTAAACCGTTCAAATCTGATAAAATCATTAAAAACACGATTTCTTATCAATATTTGGGAATAAAGTAATAGTAAGGACAATATACCAACATCTGTAGTAAATAAACTATTTCGATCAAAATAAAGCCCATCGCTTGTCGGCTTAGAGATGTTTTGTTTCCATATAAATAGTATTCTGTACTTAACATTTAACTTTTACGTCATGCTACTTTTGTTTAATGATAATCGGTCCAGTTATTTTTGCTCTTGTACGGAACGTACCTAGACTTTTAAGCACATACCCTTCTTAGTGTGCGCAGTCAAGTAAAAAGGAGGAATGCCCGTATGCGGGGATATGAATAATCGCATTTTATACGCTGCCGTAACACAATATCAGTTTTTAATGTACTTTCATGATTTGTCAGTTAATTAATTGACTAAAATAGTTTCTTATTATTGTACAAAATATTGTGTAATAGTATGAATACTATGTTGATACGAATTATGATAAATAATCATTTAAGTGCCTATTTGCATATAAAAATATGTTGGGATTATTTTAGATTGTATGGGTGGTTCTTTTTATTATTTTAATTAATTGATTATAAAAGTTACTATCAATGATTGTTATGAAGCATTGTAATACTGACTATTTTCTTTTGACGAAAATAAGACTTTAGACGTCTTATCCAAATGGATTTCTATGAAAATTATTAGAGGCAGAATATTACATTTTCCCTTTATATCTAATAAAACCAAACGTAAAGTTATCAAATCAGCAACCCTCTTAATTGTTACCGTGTACTCTGTAATTGAAGTACGATATATAGACTGTTTTACATAACCAGTCATAAATGACTCATAACCGAACCAATAAATTAAAACTATTACAAAATGTTTATTAACAGTATACAGTATGTAGTCTTAACTTAATGCTTCAATAGTTTCCTACCTGGAAGGGTCTGGAACTGCACATGATATATTTGAAATAAACGTTCGGATGTACCCATGCGTTATTTAAAGTTTATTCAAGATTTCAAGCCAAAATCAGAGTACTTATATATTAGTTATATCATACACTCATATAAGAGGAACATTATTATATATTATAGTCATTACACCTTTATTATCGATCTTCAAAATGCAGTTTTTTAATAGAGGTTAGTTTAGTGAAATCTAATCAACTTATAGATTTTTCTAATAAATCGAGCCAATTTCCTTATAGTTAAATAAAAAATCGGGCTTTAGCCCCCATGGAGAAAATATTAAGCTTCAGTTAAAACAAAATTGAAATCCATCCAATAGATATGCCAGAAAATGATTTCTACGGTACGACATTTTTTATCAAACTTTCCTCGTAGCTCGGAGGAAAATAACTTTAAAAGTTTTATAACTAGAAAATCTTAATATTTTTTCTCTGCAAAATTAATCGTCATATTTACAATGGCTACTAGATATTTTTTTTTCAAAAATTGCCTATTCTTCATTCTATTATAAATAGCCTTTTGCGCTCCCATTAAATTAAATAAAAAATTCTTTCATAAATCATTGTTATAACCTCTTTAATATTATCAAGTGATAACAAACTCTATTGTTATTGATAATAATAATAATCGCCCGTGGATCTGGGCTCTGGACATTCTTAGACATATTAAAATTGCCTTCTCTCGGTTACGCACCGGTCACAATCTGCTACCCTCCCATTGCTATCGTCTCTCACTCAATTCTTCCCCTCTTTGTCCTTAGCACCTGACGGAAATTGATTGTGACGTTTCACATATCCTTTACAACTGTCCGTCTCTCGTTCTCAGTCGTAACTTACTGTTTTTTCTTCTCTTCTCCATTAGTTAAATTTCTTATGATATCCAACTTCTTCTTAATTCTCTTTTCCCTATTGTTATTTCTTCTATAATTTCCTTTATTTTAAACGCTGGTTTACTCATTGAAATATATATAAAATTTAAAAATCTTGTTATTTTTTTATATGTATACTGTGCATAATGTTTAATAACAAAAACAATAATAAAAAAAATAATAATCTGAAAGAAAAAAAAGCGATTTTTGTAGTTGTACCAAACAAATTATTTTCGTTTTGTCAACATATTATGTAGAATTTTACAATTTTTAGTTTTATTGTGTTGTTACAATAATTGGCTTTTAATTTAACGTTGATCAAAAAACATTTAGGCTAGATAGATAGAAAAGAGAGGTAGTTTTTTATTACTTTAGGTAGTCACTTGCCCACCTAAAGAATCAAAGACAATAAAGAAGCAACTGTGCGGTATGGCTGTTATTACACTGCTACCTTAAATAATGCATTTTATAGTTTTTTTTAATAAAAAATATATAGCACTGTGTGTGTAAACCAAGTACAGATTAACTTTAAATAATTTTAGCCCAGCCCAGGCGTTTATATAGTATATACAAATAAGTTTGGATTGGGTTAGGATAAGTTTCATTTTAAATATTTGATTACAACCTGATTCTTATTCACTTATTATAACCTGTACCTACAGTGTAATCTTGCTTGATTTTTAAAAGTATTCGGGATTTAAAAAATTAATTGTTTTCAAAATTCAATTTAGTTTATTTTAAATGTATATTACATAAATGTGCATTATAGGAATGCTAAAACAAACTTAATTCTACAGTTTGTTAAAATTCCGTTAGGAGAGAATACTTTAGTAGAAATATCTGCTTATTTTAAGATATAGGTTATAACAGAGTTATGGCCAGGGTCAATTTATTTTTACAAGTAGAAATACTTTTCGTGTCAAAAAGTTGTTTTAAAAACGTCTCTTTTTAATGACGTGTATTTTTAGTTTTTGCAAAAACAATTATTGATCCTCATAGTTTGCATCGATTTGATGTATGTATAGTTCGTTTTTAAAAGTTATATGAGCTAGTTGTATCAATTAAAAAAAAAAAGAAACGCTAAAATGATTGAATCCCGCTGCTAACTAATTACAATACTAAATACATACATTTGTATTTAATGTATGGAAATATGTACAGTATTGGCATAAAAGTAATTTTAAATTTTAAGTGATATGGGCATATTGAAATATATACAAAAAAATATATAAGATTATATGCCAATAAAATCTCTTGTCCATTCGATTTCAATTTTTTTTTTTTTTTTAATATAAACTGATGGGAACGAAATCCTTTAATCGTTTACTTTAAACCACATTTTGAAACTCTGAAGAGTTTTCGACGGAAAAATAATGACTTTTTTTACCATACAAAAAAAAACCGTTGCCTTGACATTATATCTGTATGTACAATTTATATACATTCGAAACGCTGCTGTTTAAATCGTGGATTATGTTTTTAAATTACATCTGGCATAACCATTTACTACTATACCGACTACCCCTTACACTAAGCTAATTTTTATTTCTTAAACCTTTCGGAATTAAAAATACACAGTGGCAAATAAGAAAAAAAAAACAAGTAAAAATGATTTAATTAAATCGGCTCACAATTTTCGTAAGTCCTATCAGCTGTACGTTACGTCGTTTCGACCCTCTTCTTTGTTCGGCGAGCCCTATATAAGGCATTGCCCGCCAACAGACACGTGTTGTTATGATAAGATGGTATAACAGGGGTAATAATAATATTTAATTGAACCAATTCTCATTAAAATACCGTTGATGTATTTGGAAAAAACACATACAATTTAAAATAAATTATTAATAATACGATGATTATTTTATTATCTACACTAATTAGAAAAAAAAAATAAAAACAACGTTTAGTCGCTTAACCAACAAAACCCTAAACAACTATTTAAAAACATTTTATCATATTTTACGCGTAATATTATAATATATATATATATATATATATATATATATAAATTAATAATAAATACATTTATCTAAAAAAATAATAATAATAATAATAAGGATAATAAATAAAGTATAAAACAATAATGATCGTTCGTTTTAAACATAAATCTTTGGTTTCGATGATGTCAATGACTTTGCCTATACTTTCAATATTTTAGGCGGTTTTTTCTTGTACATTAAAAAAAAAAATTACGGCGTGTTTAGTATTAAACATAATGTAATAAAATAATCAATGAAGTGAAAGCAAACACCATGTTGATTCAGTTTTAAAATAATTAAACAACAAAAAAAAAATAAACAATAACAAATTAAAAAAAAAAAATAAAACCAACAAAAAATATGAGTGAGAGATCATAATAGTCCGATCTACCGTTCACCGTATGCAGTATTATACAAGATTCAGGACGTCTCAGGAAAAAACCAAGATAGGATAACATACTTTTATGAACATTTTTTTCACTTAAAAATACACTAGATTATTATATATAATATATATTATATTGCAAACTTACTACAACGTACGCGAAACTCTTAAGCGCACAAGCAACAATTAACTTGTATTATCATCATTAAATTATTTAAAGTAAGATGCTCAGCTAGTCTTGCGATAGCCGTTTCGCACGTAACACACGCCGTTGAATGCTGTGAACGTATGCGCCTTTGTCGGGCCCAAAAGCGAATATTGCGCGCCGCTATGAGTTCGGTGGGAACGGGACACGCGTTTGACAATCGTATATATATATATAGAGGTAGAGAGGAAATAAAAACCGTTCCTGACTAGGTGCAGTGATCTAGTTAACAAAAACAAAAAAGAAAAACGTATTTTAGCCGTGTTGTATTTTATATGTATTTGGGGCCGAGGCGAAGGGTATGACAGGTGAAACTATAAATATCTATTTTGTACGCGTTATTCGCATAGAACGCGTACGCTTCTTCCCCTCGCGGGTCTCACTTTATTGTTGAAAAACTTAAAACCTAATCGTGGTTTAGATACGTGGGCATAGTGAACTGATCCTTTGGAGACATGGCGTCGTACAGGGACATTTTCAGCCTTTTGCACTTAGCCCGTCGGTTTTTAAACCAGAATTGAACGTTTTTGGACTCGAGCCGCGGGAATTTCTGCCGGTAGGGCATGCGGTTCAGTTCATCCGTGTACTTGGCGATCAGGCTGTGCGATGGATGTGTGTTGTGTTCGAACCACTGTTCTAGTCGTGGCACCTCGCTCACAGGATCGATGAACGTTCGGTTTCGCTTTCGGCGCTCCTCGGCTAACGCCGACAGATTCAGACCCGCCACATTAGGCGCACACCTAACCTGTGGGAAAAGAAACAGCATAAACATAAGAATTTTTCACATAATTGTAGGTTTTGGCGTTTTGTTTACTATACATTTTAAGGCTCACCAAAAAGTGTTAGTAACGGATACGTCTAGTCTGTTATCGCGACCAATCGATTTTTTACAAACTATTACAGACTTTTACAGTCATATGACCATTTTGTTATGTAATTTTAATCAATAGGGAGTTTTGTACAAAGTTTTAATGTTGTATGTTATCGGTTAGCGGATATATAATTGCTTCAATAGTCTTAATAACGCGTCGTTCATTTATTACTAGGATTTCTATTAGGACAGAAAATATGGACGTCGTCGCAGGCGAAACCATTTACCAATTTAGTTATTCGTTAACCATTTTTTTTTAAATATAATTTTATTTATTTTACTATAATAATATAATTATACTTTACTATAATTTGGCTAATTCGTTTTTCAAATATATTCAAACTGCCTTTGTTTGTTATTTCTCTGTTATTTATGCAACTATCGAACTACTTAACTAATAATAAGTATTGCATGTATTTTAACGTTCGACTCAACATTTTGGTTTTAACGTTTTTGATTATTTTATGTTAATTTTACCATAACGGTATGGACTAATTGTATAATATTAAAAAATGTGAACAACGTTATGTGTGTTCATTGATTAATTATCGTACCTGCTGTTGTTGCGATTGTGGTGGTGGCGTGTCGGGCTGTGGTCGGCGACCCATGTTAAAACCTGGTAGACACTGGCTCATGTACATAAAACTGTGGCTGAACATCGAGTTGGGCACAATGGGGAACCCCGGACGGACCAGCGGCTGGTGTAAATCCGAAGCGGCACTATGGAACACATTTGGCGCAACCGGGTGTCCACCAGACGATTGGTCCGGGCTAGATGTTATCTGCTTGCAACTTCCTCCATCAGATCCTTCGTCCTCCATGTCCTCGTCAAAATCGTCGTCGTCATCGTAGTTGTTATTGTTCAGGCCGGTGGACTTTTCTTTATCGGGGGGTTCTTCTTTGATCACCATTACCTTTAAGAATAACCAAATTACACAGTTAACCTCAAAGGCAGTTCTAAACCTGTACAGATGAGCTAGGGAAAGCAAACGCCTAATTTTAATAATACTCTATTTAGAAAGTACTTCTTTGTTTTTGCTCCTATTTAAATAGTGTACCGAGTAAAAAACGTATCAGAAATTAAATTGGCCTACATGGAAAAAAATGATCGTTTCTTCAAACACATAAAAAACAATACGTCATAATAATTATTATACAAAAAAGAATATATTAACTGACTCAGTTTTCAAATTATGATTTATTGAATTACTTAATCAGTTAATTAGCTACAGCTATTTTTAGTTTAATTGTTATGTCGAAAACCTTAAGATTCACTCATGCTGACGAACTATATGTTTAAGAATACGTGACTAGATTTTATCAATAGGTAGTTTTTATACTGTGAAGAGATTCTCATTATTGCTGTAGTTTTGTTTTATGAAGTGAATTAAAATCTCGAAAGAAAAAAGTGTAACGATAGTTCCTTTAATACACTTTTTTTCAAGTGCTAATGGAACCTAATCATAATAGATTGTATGTATATTAATAGACACATTGCGCACAATAACGAAATTATCATATGTAGCTATAATAACATAATAACATGGCACTTGACTCTATTTAAACAAACGATTTATTTAGTCTAAAAAAAAAATGAGTCAATATAAATATTAACAGTAAATAATCACAACACAAATATACATGCAAAATTGACGGTATTTTTTTTTCAAAATGAAAAAGTGGATTATTACATAAATCTCGTTTACAACGAAATTATTTTATTTAGCTACATAGTTAGTAAGCATGTTTTAGTACATGTCTCACGCGAAATAAAACGTAGATTTATCAGATTTGGAAAATGTGTTGTGTTGGTTAAGTCCGGATAGAGCTTATAACATATTTAAAAATTAATTTCCCGTAATATTTAAAGTTTTTTTTTATTATAAAAATTGACCTGAAATTGAGTTGACATAATTCAAGTTTAACTAGTTTAACAGTTTCAATATTTTACAAAAACCTGTTTAAAATTAAAACACTTAAATTAACATACCTAATTTTAACATTTTATAATTTCTTATATTATCTTAAACTACCTAGAATTTTTCTATGATAATGGTAAAATTTATTTTCTTGATTTACTTGTCCTTGTTTACACGGAAACAAGTGGAGAGGTTTTTCTTATAAAATTGATATCATGAGGGTATAACTTACTAATGTGCAAGACAAAATGGTTTTAGCACAATATTTTAGTTTGCCAAAGAATTACCACTAGTACAACAATAATCACGATAAATCCCAGTACAAGTATTGTATTAGGAACTACCGATAATAACTCAAAAATTAAACAACACATTTTACAGTTGACACATTCGAATTACTTTAAACAAAACGTATTAAAACGTATTTAATAACAGTTAAACATTTGAAGTCTGTATTTCATCTCTATGGATACGATTTATAACTTGTCGCTATTTTATAAATTTAGTTTAATTATTTAAATTATTTTATCAATATATTTCAATAATCTAGGAGTCCCAAAAGGCCACAGAATTGTAAAAACAATTAGATTTCAGACAGAATTAGCTATTTTCAATATAATTAAATAACTGTATCAGTAGAAATGTGTTTGTAGTATAATTATTTATTGGGGCTGATCGCGAAATAAAGGAATAACGTTTATTTAAGTCTTTATTTGCTAAATAAAAACCTACTAGTTAGATACTACTCTTCTATCGACTATCATCATATTTTGATTAACTTAATTGCTATTATTATTAATACCCCCTAAGCCCCCCCCCCCACTAATTGCGCTATGTTTATAACCAAAGATTTGCAGCATTTGACTATTAATTTAATATATCATTATGTTGTCATCTTCAGTTTTTTGTTTTGCTATTTGTATTGTAGTTCTAATATAGTTCTATATAGTTCTATATTAAAATATAGAACTATATAGTCTATAGCACTGTAGACTTATGGGAAATATAATTATAATTTTAAGTAATCTAATTTACCTAAAGGCGTATCTAAATTGACTACCATTAAAAAAAATACAGTAGGGTCGAGGCATAGAGAAGATCTACGAGTAGGTTTCCTAGAAATTTTATAACTAAAAGTATAATTACTTTTAGTTAATTAAAGTGATTTAATAATCACTTTCAAAAATTAATGCTATACTGCGAAATTGTAGATGATAAAAAGTATCAATTATACATTTTTCTAATGACAATAACTGTATTTATAAAAGTATATTATTTATTGTATTTTTTTAAATATATTTTAAATATACATTCTTTTTAAACAATTTATTGATAGAGTGCCAAGGAGGTTCCGAGTGTAGTGGAAAAAGAAGTTATAATTAAAAGAAAATTTAAAGGTTAGAGGAGGTGTTCATTAGGGTTCTGCTTTGAGCACTTACCGGTTTTCGGTTGTAATGGATAAAGTTACGAAGAGAACACAGGGTTTGGTAGGAGAAAATCTGGAAGAAGTTAACAACAGGTTTGAGGAGAAGAGAATAACACTTGAAGGAAAGGGACTAATGGTAAGTTTGGAGAGAAAGGACAAAAGGTTGCCAGGACAAGACGAGTAATAACAATATAATCGGTGACGTAGAAGGCGAGGTAGAGATTATTTAGAATGTTTTTCTGCAAAATATCGGTGGCTTTTATGTGGATGTGAAATATAGGGTTGAGTGTAGTTGGGTCAAGTGGAGAGAAGCGTCAGATGTTAAGAGTACACCTGATAAGAATATTTAAATGAGACAAAGATAAGTCCTACAAGAGTGTGCTGAACCGACTATGTTGTATGATTTGGAGTGTTGGGTGGTAGAGAAAAAAATAAAACAGAGAATGAGTGTAGTGGAGATTAGAATACTAAGGTGAATGAGTAGAGTGATGAGAGAAGAAGCGATGTAACAGGCGTGGCTTCGATAGCGGACAAAATGAGAGAAAATAGACTGGCTTGAGAATGCTATGGAAAGATAGAAATCGGAAGCAGTAAGAATGTTAATGCAAATACACGTAGGAGGAAAGAGGGGAACAGGAAGACCTTAGACCGAAAAAATGTGGTTGGATTGAGAATAATGATATGCTGGTGGTATGCATAGATAATGTGGGCGATCGTGTTGAGTGGAGGTTTAGGGCAAAGTTGGCCGACCCTAAATAGTTGAGATGAAGGCAAATGGGAAGAAGAAGAATTTGTTGCCGTTGTCTTTTATATATTGCTATCAACAACGAAAATACGTGTTGTCAGTAAGCTGATGATTTATTCACACATAACAGCTTAGAATTTTAATACGGAACGAGTGTAAATTTGCCCTCTTTTTTATTTCTCCTTAAAAAAAAGGTTGACCACATATTTTTGAAATCATTCTGTTATAATCCCCCCCCCCCCCCCTATAAATCTACCGTAAACCTAATTTTCAGACCTTAAGTCCTAAAACTACACCTAAAACATAAAAAAAGCGAAATGCAAAAATTGGAGCTTGCTGCTCGGCTACCTAACTACTAATATTGCCTATAGCGAACTCTCCTATTAACAGCTGTAAGCAATGTATTTACCTTATGATCGGAGCTTATTTGGGAACTGCGGGACTGGGGTCTAGAAGAATCTGCATCGCCGTTACTGAATCTGCCATGAGTTGTCAGCGACATTGGTTGTTCTTCCGGAGGACTCATTGGTTTCACGTCGTCATCATCTCGATTTTCTTCAAATTCTTCATCTTCTTCGTCTTCAACGTCGCTCGCTGAACCTTGACCGCTGTACGATTTACCACCGTGTTCGCTGGGGCTACGGCTTTTGCAATAACCGTTCATGTTACCGTCATTGATACCAGGGTTTGCATCATTGGTGCCTACAACAGGATTGTGAAATGTTTAATACAATATACTGGCTCCAAATTTCCAAAATAAACTGAATGTTTTAGCTAAACAATTTTAGCTCTCTCCACATGAGTGAGTGATAAGATATATTATAGTGTCTGATATAGAAGAATAATTAGGAGCCTGCGCCCGACTTTTTATGCTTAAAAACATGCCATAAACATTTATACGGTCAAAAACTCTCATACTTCATAAAAAAGAATATTTTATTTGTTTTTTTTTAGTAAGAAGAAGACTTTTCCATAGTTTGGACTTAACAGTCGAGAGCAGGATCCTTAAGTTGGACGATTCCTCGTATATCAGAATCATATACATATATAGCATGTAGACGACATAAAGGTACTAATGAATTGCATAGGCCGTATAATCATTATAAATAATACTAACCTGAATTCGTACCACGCACCTCGGCACGTTTTTGCGCCGCTCTAGCGTTTTTAAACCAATACACGACATTATTGACATCTAAAGGCTTACGGCCTTTTCGTGACTCCAAGTTGTTCAGCTCGCTGACGTAATGATGAATCTGTTATAGAAAACCGTTTGACTCAATAACTCGTTGTATTCGAATAATCAATTTTAGACGTGTGCCCTTACTTGTTGTCTACTAGGATGAGGGTTTTCGGAGAACCAAGCTTGCAATTTTGGAAGTTCTAGTTCCGTATCAAAACTTGTTCGCATGCGAGTTTTTTGACCTTGGAATTGGCTCTGAGGGTTGGACTACAGAAACATATAAAAAAAGAAATACAATAATTAATACTTACATGTTTTTAATAAATAAAGAAAATACACAAAACGAACGTGTGTACCTGAAGTATATGCGGCTTGACATCGGTTTTGGAAATAATACAATGTGAAGAGTTATCTTGCAGATTAGAGTGTCTCGGAGATGAACCGTTACGATAGAACATGTCTCTAACCGATTGAGGTAATACCGATGGTTGAATTTTGGGGACCACTGCAGATGATTGCATAATCCACCATTGCTCAAATTTTTTATACAAATCTTCAGGCAAATCTGGACATGCTTGTCCAACTTTCATCATTTGTAGGATTATCGCTTCGTCGAGTGGACACCCAGAAGCAGCTAGTTGCGTTTGGCTTTGTACTAAAAGAAGCTTGAGTAGTTTATCTTTTAAATCGGAAAACCTATTCTTCGACTCCCTGAAATTATAACATTCACTATTTTCAATTAAAATTGAAATTACATAAATATGATAAAACCATTTTAACAACGGTGTTTACCTGAAAACCAATATCCTGAGAGTAGCTAATGTAGTGAGTTCCCCCAAAACATCACTAACCGTCAATACTGGATCTTCTGCAATTGTGTCTAAGTCTAGTGGCAACCAATTCTTTAATACTACTAATCCTTTAGAAGCAGCTACAATATCTTTCGAGTAGCCAAGTCGCACCAACGCTGCTTCCGTCAGATCTCTGAACGCGGTATTATTTGGAATAATAACAAATCTGTCTAATTCCACGTGACCTTTAGAGCCAACACCCGGCGAAGAATACTTTTGACTCCATTGGTAAACATGATTAATGGACTCCACCACACAATGTACCGGAATAGATTTTGCTACAAAAAAAAAAAAATATTTAGTATAATATTATGAATTGCATGTTTTAAAAAAACATGAACAAAAAACCATATATCAATAAAAGAGGCGTAGAGAATTAATATGCATTAGGTGATCGTATAAACCATTTAAATAAATTTGTATAAGGCTTAGTGTAGACTAAGCTTTAAGTGGTTGAACCTAAAACTAAAGTCAGTCCAGATTAATTCAAAAACGGGTTTCAGAGATGTTCCATAATAATCTTAAGAACGCATACAGTATCGTTAAAAATATTTTTGAAAATTTATGTTTTTTTTTAAATCTCGATTAACGCTTAAAAATAAAGCTAATTTTATTATTTAAAATGGCTATGCACTACTATTTATATTTTATACAAAGCATCGCATCACATATATGAATAAAATGCTTAAAAAATAATGTTATAATTTTAAATATTATTAAGTTAAAAATAAACGTAATGTATCAAGGTCGTAATGTATAGGGTCGTTTCTTATACTACATAACTGTTACTCTGAGACCATAAATGAGCGGGTTTCTTTAGTTCTATCGTGTAAATCGATTGTAGCGTGATTAAAATCGCTAAAATAAAAGGATAACAGTTCCAGCGTTATTTTTTTTTTTTAAAAGACCTATGTGTTTAAATGCTTTTCTTAGAGATGTTCAAATTCATCAATAACATGTTTCGCAAAATTTCACAAACGCTTTAGTTTTGTTCCTATCCAAAATTCTAAATCTAGTTTCATAAAATTAGAACAATTACCAACCACCATTGAAATATGTATAGCGACATTACATATTACAATAAGTATAATATATTCTTATAATTGCGGTTCAACTTATACATCGTAATACAAACGGCATTGTATTAAATCAGGTGAAAAAATATTGTTTATTTTAGCTCGTTTCGGTTTGCAAGTATTTGCGAATGGCATATCCGCGTATTTAGAAAGCTCTATTGAGTATAAAATTGGAATTAAGTTTTCGCTTTAGTCAGCAAACGAAGGGTCTAAATGACATTTCACTTACTGAAAGCGTTTTCCTGAGATAAAGTCGTCATCGTACTTCCGGCGTTTAATACAATATTTATACTGTACCGGCGGTATAAGCCCTTCCCCCGGATTTTCCGCTAAAACGGAGAAGATGACGCTTTGGAAAAACTTTTCAAAACCAAAAGTTGACAGCCCGATAAACAATACCCAACAGTGTCCCGGTGTTATATCGTACGTGTCTATCTGACTGCGGTACTGGTCTCTTTATACCAGAGGTGTGCTCGAAGTGTTTTCCATTATTAGCCGAACGCAGTTGCCGCTTTCTGTCTCTCTTTCGGTTGACGACAATAATAAGCTCTTATCAGAAACCGCTTTCAACCGTTCTCGTTTGTGTTTGTACACAAATAACCGGATCGGCATTGCCCGGGCGCGATTCAGCCTTTAATACCAAGGGTGGTAGTGGCGGTGGCAGAGCGAACGGAAATGAAAAACAGAAGTTACCGAGTTCGTTGTATGTGAGTTTAAAAGAAGAGGGAAGGTGGGTGGAATGAATAAAAGAAAAAAAAAATACCCAAATGAAAGGAAGGCACCAGGAAAAAACCTTGTTATCTGCTTGTAAGGAGAAAATGTTTAACCAGATTTAATAACTACTGTCGCGTGGCTATATCGTGTGAAACTGTTATCTCTAATATTGATTTGTGCGACTGCTATTCTTTATGGTTGTAAAAAGAAACGCGCTATTTTAACTTATACATTCAATGTCCCCAGGGTCTTATATTAAATGCCAACGTGGTTTGATACCGGAAACGCGAAGTTCCGGTGTGTAATGTACCAGTTACAAATGTAATGTAGTAAGGATGTGTTTTTACAAAAAAAATAACGCGGTATAGGGCTACAGTGGAAAACGTATATAGTATCACATGAGTAAAAGAAATTCGATAAACTCCATTTTAAACTTTTAACGCTATCAATAATGATTCCATAAAAAACTACTGGGACTTGTACAATTCAAAGTTTGTAAAATTAAAAAATTACATTACATTAAATCTAATATATTAATTACAAATAAAATAAATTGTTTGTTAAGTCCTTAATATCATTAGAATAATTAGTCGTTACTATAATAGTAAAAATAGTACACAATATTGTTACTATTTCTTTGACGAGAATATTAGTATAGGCTATAGCTATTTAGATTTATTAGGTTGTTTAAACACTTGTACTTTTATAATTATTTTGAGTCACTAAACGTTTGACAAGTATTATCTAACGAATGTTTTTGTTTTTTTAGCAAACTGCTTTAAGATAATATAAACTGTCGCGCCGGGCCGCTGATTATTAATTTGTTTTTTCTTCCCTATAATATGTTTTCTATTTGAAAATAAAATAACTTGGAATTATGTCCGTGTATGCGAGTGGCTGTGGCTATTCCTGTGTCTGTCGATAGCGCTTATGCAACTCGAATTTTCCCTAAAATTTATAAGTATGTTTGTTCAGCTGGTTAGATGAACTGATTAAAGACCATCGGGTGATTTTTTTCATTTCGACGGGAATGGTTTTTTTTTCTAGCGATCTGATAATTAAACATAGATGTCCGAAATGTATATATTTTATGCAACTGGCTGATCCTTGTATGTGTTACAAACTTGTAATATTCATATTATCCTTCAATTTATAAAAGATGTTATGTGCCAAATCATTGGCACATAAAAATGTTGTCATAAAATAAAATAATTAGTTATGATAAACGAAAACCAAAAATAATATTTCGCGAAAATAAGTATTGATGAATGTTATTTTAAGCACGTACTTATTTGATTTGATGTATTCGTAGCGGGCTACTTATTAATTTCCAATTTATTAGTATACTGATTTAAAGCTTTGCGTAAGCCGATCACCGACGTTAAAACTTATTTACAGTTCTCGGAAACACAAACATCGGTGTGTAAAATTATACAAAAACCTGTAGATGACACAAACAAATATTACCAGTAAAGCGATAGAAATGAAGGGAGACGAGTATCACGCACAAAAATAGGTTCTTATTTAAATGTGCGGAAGACAGAGGAGCGGCGCGACGAGGGGAGGCCGATTAAAGTGGCTACAAAGAGCTTAGCGCCAATGGGCCGGGTGAGCGTGAAAGGCGAGGTGGTCGTTATAGGTACACTGATCCCAACGATAAGTTGATCCCGAATACACATATGCACGAGTGTGCTTGGAACCGAATTTCAGGGACGTTGGCTTTCGTTTGGAAAGACTCCGGAGGATTAAAAATTGCAAGCAAAAAACCGACTGGTAGGACGGATAAAGTTAACGGAGAAAAAAACGCAAGCTGAATGAAAAGAGATAAGTCGAAAAGATTAAACCTCGTGTATTATACCGTCGAAAGGCCGAGGGATTACTTTCTATTCGTAATAAGCGAGAGGAGGGGACTGGATAGACGGACGGGCGGGATGGTGGAGGATCTATATTAATTCTCTCTGTGCCTGGGTCGAAAGGTTTAACACGTTCTCGCTAAGGACCACGGGAACAGCGTACTGAGGAGTCGCATTGTTAAAACAATTCTAAAGCTTGCTCAACACCGAAGTTCCACGAATGCTTAACTTTTCAGAAATGAAGATTAACAATCGGGTAAAAATATTTGAATCGCATTTACCTATCTAAAATTCCGAGTTAATGTTATTTTTGAAGATGAAAACGTTGGACACACTAAAAGGACAGTGCAAATTATCATTAATACATGTATTACTACACCACACTGTTATCACTCATTGTACGTTGAAATTATTACCAATGCAATTACTGGGTGGTTTTGGAGACGGATTTTATTACAGACCCATAAAAAAAGTATGGTTCCTGGCTATCCAGACTTTAAAATGTTTACAGTCGATGAATCCGAATCCGAGGTCAGAATTATTATTTCTGTGTTTATTCGTAGGACAATGTGTGATAAATTTTTCTGGTCCCATTAATTAATGTTTATAAATGTGCAGAAAAAAAATGTATCTTTAATAACATTTAAATAGAAATAATATGAGTTTATTATTTTATTAGAATTTAAATTCAATAATCAAATGATCGTTTAAAATAATTTTATGCTTCATCATTTTTTTTTATGTTCAATTTTTCGAAGTAGCATATTTGTTTTATTTTATCATTTAATCAATTAAAAAATTATAAACGAGTATAATTGAGAATAATAGTTATTTAATGGCACATTATTTTACTTTCTTTCCCTTCGCAATGTTCTCTTTCTCATAATTATTAATAATTGTTTTTAATAATCCCGTTCTATTCTTGTCATTTTCTCTGTTTAAATTTTCAACCGTAGCGTTGGCTTCTTTCTATTTGATGTACCTAGTTTGCATAATATTTTGTTTTCTAGTTGTTTGTTGAAGTTGTTGTTAATGAACGTATAATTACAAAAATTAATTGTATCTGGAAATAACAGTCTAGCGGATTAGCTTAGATTTGTTAATTTAGATTATACGTTGTTCAATCCGATTTTATTAGCAAATCAATTATATTAAATGGTTAAATAACGATGATTAATTAAATCGATTTGTATTTAAATTCGAATTATTCGAGTAGACATAAACCTTTTTTATTTTTTTTTAATTTCTCTTTGTCCCAATAATAATAGTTTGTTGTTTACATTATCTGTGGAAAAAATAAAATGCGCGGCCGTTATATTATATTGGGTTTATTTATAGGAGGTATTTGAATAGTATATCATAATGTTTTTGTAATAGGTATATATTATGCATTATGTAAAAGAGCAAAAAAAAAACATAAATTCCTAAGACATCACGGTTAGTAGTTCCGCGATCCGATTTTTAGGAATGATGACGATTCCCGTAATTCGGCGCCTATTCCCGAACAGAAAATTTTCACGGTCATAAGACGGAGGAACGTCAAGGTAAGTCCTAACCCGGTTGATGCGCGCGCGACCTTCGCCTATGCGCACATTCCTGGCCATCACGTTCCGGATGGCCTGGATAAACGACTAA